CCTTGGTCACGGAGCGTCCCCTGTGCCTGGCACTGTGTGCCCTTGTGCAGCCTTGAGCCCAGAAGTGGTTCTCCATTGTCCACGTCCCTCCCCTGTCTCATAGTGGAGGGGACCGAGAGTCTGAGGGGACAAAGGATGGGGATAGAGGATGGTGCCAAAGCCAGCTGCCTCCCCACGAGGGTCACAGTCTCACCTCCACCTCTCGAGTGGCTGCGGCACCTTGGGAATGAGTCTGTTCCATGTTCTGTGTTTGGAGCCAGCGCTGGGGAACTGCCACTCTCAGAGTCCCCAGCATCAAGGCAAAGTGCCTGGGTCTCAGAGAGGTGAAGCCCACGTGGCCAGAAGCTGAGGGCAGGGCGTGGGTCCTCTTCTCCCCACCTGCTGCTCTCTCAGGAGGACAGGATCCCTCACCCTCATCCCCATTCCGGGGAAAGGCCCAAAGGACCAGGTCAGAATTACACAGGGTCCTTGAGCTGATGCCTCCCATGGCCCCTCACTGAGGGCCATGATAGAGAGGGGATCCCTAAGAAAGGGGAGAGCCTGAGGCTTCAGACTGGGCCTCCAGTGGGGGCTGTCACCCCTGGCTCTGACCTTCCTCCCCTGGATCGCCTCCTGATCATGGGAGCCTCTGTGGGAAAGAGCCATTCCTGGTGTCCCAGAGCTGCAGCTTCAGGCACTCTCTTCTCCAGACTGCAAATCCCTTCCCAAGCTCACGTTCCCAAGTCTCCATCCAGCCCAAGCCAAGCCCCGAGTTTCATCCCCAGGCCTCAGCATAAGGCTGCAGCTGATCCTCGAGCCATGATGGGCACTTATTCCTGTGCTAATCATGTGCCAGTGCTTCACTTGCTCACCTCTGCGAATCTTCACAGCCCTGACTGAGGAGGTGCCTGTTCCTCCTGTTCTCCCATTTTACAGATGTGGAAACTGAGGCTGATGTTAAGTCGCTTGCTTAAGGTCACACAGCTATTAAATGGCTCAGCTTGGATTTGAACCCAAGTCCGAGTGATTCCAGAGCCTGGGACTTTAGCCATTGGGAGTGTGGCTCCCAACTGTACGTGTATGCCTGTGAGCATGGAGCAGACACACACACCCCAGACACTTCCCACACTGAATGTGCACTTGTGAGTGGCGCCCTGGCTCCTGCCTGTTCTCCTGGCGCATCTGGGTAGAGCCTGGGTATTTCTGTTGCCTGAGGCCTGCAGGAGAGCTTTCCATTTTCCCCGAAGTCTCCCATCACTGTAAGGATTATGTGAATTGGCTGGATGAGGTGGCTCATGCCTGTAATCCCAGCACTTTGGGAGGCAGAGGCAGGCAGATCACTTCAGGTGAGGAGTTCGAGACCAGCCTGGCCAACATGGCGAAACCCTGACTCTATTAATAATACAATAATTAGCTAGCGTGGTGATGTGCGCCTGTAGTTCCAGCTACTCAGGAGGCTGAAGCATGAGAATCGCTTGGACCTGGGAGGCAGAGGTTGCCATGAGCTGAGATGGCGCCATTGCTCTCCAGCCTGGGTGACAGAGTGAAACTGTGCCTCAAAAAGAAAAACCAAAACAAGATAATGTGAGTTGATCTCTGACTGGACAGGCCTGCTTCCCATGCAGAAGGGCGGATTGCCTCATCTGGTCTTGGACGTCATTGGCACAGCCGCTGTCAGACCACCTCTCCCAGGCCCGACGTCAAACTCAGGACTGACCGCTTCCTCATCTTCCCCAGACATGCTGCCGTTGTGTCCCCTGACTCTAAACTCAAGGCTTGGAAGCCCAGATCTGGCCTTGCACCTGACTCCCTCACTCCATCCCTGCACTGTCCTAGGTGGCTCCTGGCTGGGCCTGTCCCCTCCAGCCCAGCTCATCCCTGGTCTTGAGGGAGGACATTGCCCTTGAACCCACCCTACCTCCACGTTGCCCATCTAACCCCATCTTGGCCACCTTCCTCTCTGTCTCCTTTTCTACCGTTTTACAATCACATCAAGGTCAACGCCCCCCTCTCTTGCCAGTTCTGACCTTGCAGTTCCCCTCCCAGGCTTTGTCCATTTTCACAAGCCATTTTGGCAGCTGTGGCTGGGCACACAGACAGTCCTGTGAGCCTCACCAAGGTGTGGCAGCTCAGACACCCCGGTGCAGTGCCACAGCTCCCAAGGGAGGCTTCCTGATGGCTCCATAATTGTCCATGAAGAGGCCAGGTGCCATTTACCAGAGGGCTCCACTATGGCGGCCGTTTGGGTGGTTCCCAGCTTCCCTCAATTACAGATAATACAGCCGTGACTGTCTGTATCTCAGCTGTCACTTTTTTTTAACTACTTTTTTAGGGCAGATTTCTAGAAGTGGTTACTGGGCCAGAGAGGAGGGGTATTTTTTGGTGGCATTCACCACGTATTATCTATTTGTTCCCAAAATAATACTTTCTCTGCAAAGCTTCAGGGCCAGACTGCCCAGGTTCCAACCCTGATCCAATACCTACTGGCCGTGTGACCCTGGACTAGTCACTTTCCTCTCTGGGCCTCTTGAGTAAAATGAGGCCAGGCTCACTGGGTTCTTGTGAGAACTGAATGGGTTCCTAGCTCTTGGGTATTTAGAATAGCACCCGCCACGTGCTACCCACTCAGAACATTCATTCTTCCTCTCTGATGAACAAGTGCACAGAGGCAAACAGGCGCGGGGTGCCGGAGGGTACTAGGAGACAGGGCTGCGGGAGACGGAGGCACGTGTGTGGCACGCAGGACACAGACTCGGGAGCCCAGGGCGGCGTCGCTCGTCAGCCACCGCATGCTGTGCCCTGAGGCAGAGCTCTTCTCAACACAGCCCCTGTTGGGCCACCCAGTTGACAGAGGCAGTGAAAGCTTCCCCCCGTCCTGCGTGACTGCCCAGACCTTTGGCACAAGTGCTGCCAGAGGCCTAGTCAGTGCCATTGGCCCTGGCTGTGCCTCCATGGGGCTCTCTCATGGAAGCCTCTGTGGAGCTTCCAGGAGGCACCGTGGGTCCACCTTCCAAGGGTCCTGCCCTCTGAGAAGGAAGGCACAACAGGGGAGGGGGCAAGGATTGGCTGGGAGTCGGCCTCGGTCCTCTTCCAGGCCCGGCCACCTGCCTGTTTCATCCAGGTTGAAAAGGCAGGAATTCCATCCAGATTAATTTCTGGCACTCAGTCAGAGACAGCTTTATGATCTCTTAAGAGGGGATCAAAGGGATTCAGTGGAGAACTGTGAAAGGAGGGGCTTTCCCCGGAGGCAGGGGGCCCAGCCCACTCCAAGACTGCAGCAGGGACCCACAGCGGGAAGTGCAGCTGGTGACCAAGCAAAGGCCCTCAAGGCCCCTACGGAGGAGAGTCCAGCCCTGCAGCCTCTTTGTGCACGTGTTCAATCCAAGTAGGGCAACCTTTTGGGGCCAGGCTGCCGTTCCCCTGCGAGGGTCACAGTCTCCAGCGTCTCCCAGCCACAGCCCAGGCCCCACAGTAGGTCATCAGGGACCCCATAACTAGTAAGGGCAGCTTCAGGGATTGAAACTAACAAGTGGCAGAGGGCCGGGAGCCTTGGGAAGGAGAGTGCATGCTCTCGTGGGCTTTCATTACAGCAGAGGGAGAGAAAAACAATTATTAGGCACCTGCTAGGTCAGGAGCTGTGCTGGGGGCTTCTCTGTGTATGATCTTTTGAAATCTTCTCAAGATTTGATTAGGCCTTTCTTAAAGGAGGAGCTAAGAAAGCAGAGGGGCATGTCCAGGGTCACAGGGCTGGGAATTGAACCCAGGGAACAGGTGGAGGATGGGCCTTTCGGCCTCTTGCATTGGAGCCCACAGATCCTCCATTTTCCCCAGCTAGAGCTGCTTTGGAAGAGACACAGGTCATTTTTGAAATCAACTTTTCATTGAAGGATAAAATAAATCTAGAAAAGTGCACAAGTCAGACCAGGCACGGTGGCTCACGCCTATAATCCTAGCACTTTGGGAGGCTGAGGCAGGCAGATTGTCTGAGCTCAGGAGTTCAGGACCAACCTGGGCAACACAGTGAAACCCCATCTCTACTAAAATAGAAAAAATTAGGCAGGCGTGGTGGCATGTGCCTGTAGTCCCAGCTACTCTGGAGGCTGAGGCAGGATAATCACTTGGACCTGGAAGAGGGAGGTTGCAGTGAGCCAAGACTGCACCACTGCCGTCAAGCCTGGGCAACCGAGCAAGACTGTCTCAAAAAAAAAAGTGTACAAGTCAAAAAGAGTTACCATTCATCTCAGCCCCTCCCTAGCACGCATAGCCACTGCTATCCAGCAGCATAGATTAGCTTTGCATCTACTTGAACTTTATCTGGATGGACTCAGACACTGGGAACTCTTGTGACTGGCTTTCTATGATTTATCCGTGTTGTGTGTAGCAATAATTTGTCCATCCACTTTGCTGGGTGGTGTTCTGTTGTATGGTTAGATTCTATTAACTTGTTCCTTCTATGGGTAGGTCATTCCAGTTTGGGGCTGTCACAGTTAGAACCATTATAAACACTTCAGTGGACTCTTCTGTTGAACGTGTGTCCACAGTCCTGTTGAGTGCATGCTTGGGAACTGAATTCTCATTCTTGTCGTTTGTTGACACAGTTTTGCAAAGTGATTGCACCATCGTATACTTACACCAGCAATGCACAAAAGCCCTGAGACACGGAGCATTTAAAAACTGGCATGTATTAGCTGGCGCCTGGCTCATGCCTGTCATCCCAGCCATTTGGGAAGCTGAGGCAGGTAGATCACCTCAGGTTGGGAGTTTGAGACCAGCCTGACCAACATGGAGAAACCCCGTCTCTACTAAAAATACAAAATTAGCCAGGCGTGGTGGCGCATGCCTGTAATCCCAGCTGTTCGGCAGGCTGAGGCAGGAGAATCACTTGAACCCAGGAACGGAGGTTGCAGTGAGCAGAGATCGTGCCATTGTACTCCCACAACAACTCCCAGCCTGGGCACCAAGAGGAAAACTCTGTCTCAAAAACAAAAACAAACAAACAAAAAAAAAAAACTGGCATGTATTAAGCTTTTTAAAATACTGAAAAGGACAAAGAAAACCAAGAAAATCCCCCCATCCATAAATCTCTCTTAACCTCTTTTGAATTTTTCAAAGTCAAGCTCTTATCCACATGTAACAGAAGGCACATGTCCTAACTGCTTCGTGGGAGGGAGTTTTGACTGTTGTACTCACCTGAGTAACCACCAGCTACACCTCCATCACCCAGAAAATCTCCTCGCGACCCTTTCCAGCCAGCTCCTCGTGCTGCCCGGTATCCTGTGTGAACATTTAAGGAAAATAAAATGCGTGTTTACAGGTGGTAGTCCTCAAAAGTATAGAAAGGTGTAAATGAAAGGTTGGTCTCCACTCCTTCAAGTCTGTTTTCCCATAGGCAGTCACTGTTAGCAGCCACACGGGGCATCCCAGAAAGTGCTTATGAGTATTCCTTTGTAAATACCACACAGATTTTATCATCCACACTGGTCCGTTCCTTGCTCCTTCATATACATCGCAGCAGTGTCTCTACAGTAGCACATAAGTCCATGCCATTTGCTTTTCTAGTGTCATACCTAGTCTTCCCTTCAGACAGAGTTTAAGGTGGATGGAACTTTAGAATCTTCAGGAAATACTGTCATCCACACGGGGAGACTTGAGTTTCTGACGAGAGGGAGATGTTTATTGTGCATCTACTATCCACAGGCCAGAGGCCGTACAAGGTGCTTTGCTGCCCAGGCCTCGCTGCCCTCCAACCCAGAAGCCCATAACCACACCCCAGGGACCAGGGTGGAGTGACCTGCCCCTTGCAGAGCTGGGAAGCGGAGGTGCCGGGTTTCCACCATGTGCTGGGTCACCGAGCCTTCCCTTCCACTCTCCTGTCCCTGGCCAGGGCTTCCTCAGCTCTGCATAAGGGCCAGCCTTGGGCTTTGGGACATTCAAGACACCCCCACCTTCTGTGTACAGGTCTTTCCTGAGCCTCAGAAATGACGCATTACAGTGGCTTCCCAAACTGCCAAGGAAAAAGTGGCGTTTGTGGGTTGTCATCGTTTCTTCTGGGCAAGGAAGGGGGGACAAGAAAGGGGGGACCTGAGCGTTCGTGTGTCATCCAGCGCAGGCTTTGATTAGGCTGGTGAGTCACCCAGCCACCATACAAGGAAGTTTTTCATGTAAACGGTTTGTGGGTGAACTTATTTTTTGCCCTTTAAGGCAGAATTTTATGTTTTTCTTTTTCTCGCCCTTTGAAGACAAGTTTTTAAAACATAAATGGGAGGCAGTGTCTTGATGAGCAAGATCTTTTGTTCTGCAAGTGTCCGCAGTGAGTCTCTTTCACAGCCCGTGGAGGCCCCCACGCTGGGGTGCTAATCTGCACTTGGGGCACACCATGGCCAGGTGTCCAGCCTGGAAGAGGGAGGTGACCTGCTGTTCTTGTGCTGGCCTCCGAGGCCTCCACCTGCTGCCCTGTTGGCTTGGAGATGAGGCTAAACAGTGACTCTAAAAAGAGCAGTGCCTGTCCCCACAGAGGAATGAATTAGGCCCTTGCTTCACTGAGAGATGATTGGAAAATGCCCAGCGGGGCAGCCAGTGAACACTCTGGAAGGGAAGGTGTTTGGGAGAGAGGCTAACTGACCGGGAGATGAGGCCAGAACGACCAGAGCTCTGTGGGCTGCTGCCCACATTGTGCTCCCTGGGGCACCCCGTTGCACTCTCAGAACCAACAGACTATTTTGCAGACAGCCTTGAAAGGGACAGAGACCCTTTTTCGGAGAACCTGAGGCCACTCCTAATGGAGCCTGCTGGCACGTGGTGGCAGAAGGCCAGGGTGGTTTGTTTCCAGGGGGGCTGGCACATGCTTGGACCATTCCCTTTGGAAGACTGGGCTGAACCTGACCTCTGTCCAGGAGCATGAGGACCTTGGAAAGCACACCCTGGAGGTGAGAGGCCAGCTCGGCACCGACTGGGGCAGGAACAGGCTCCAGCAGACCATTCATCATGTCTGTTGACTTTCAAGGCTTTTGTTAAAGTCTCCAACCAATCTTCCATCCAAGAGGGTCCTTACCTCGTCCCAGGCCTCCTGGCCACTGCAGATCTGGGGATTTTGAACCAGTAGCTCATTGGTTTTTAGAGTAGGGTCCAGAGACCAGCAGTATCTCCATCACCTGTCAACTCACTAGTAATGCCAGTCTTCAGTTTCACAGACTCTCAGTTGGCAGGATGAGAGCAGCAAACTGTTTTAACACACTCTCTGGGTGACCGTGATGTCCTCCGGAGTTTGAGAACCGCGGCAGTAGTGTGAAGAAAGGGGAAAGAACCATAAACTTCAGTTGAGTTGCCTACTGTTTTCCATCTACTTTATCTTCGTTATTCTCTTTAGGGCGCACAATCCCTGGATTTTATGTCTCCATTGTATGAACACGAGTCTGACTCTCAGACTTCTTAACCTTCTCATGCATCCAAGCCAGAATTCAAACCCAGGCTCCGCAGCCTCCTTCTGTAACCATTTCACCCTCTTACTGGGGTTCTCACAGCCTGAGATTAAGCACAGATGACTAAACATGTCCATAGCTTTTGGGCTACTCTGCTAGAATCCCCTCCGTTTGTACAGTTCCCTTAGAATTCACTGGGGTAAACATCATTGAACTCACCCTCCTGGGACACTGGGCTTCTCTAGACAAGTAGAGTCCTCCACGCGAGTATCTGAGAACGCGCCTCCCGGGGGAAGGCAGAAATACACCTTCTCCTATATTCAGACACAACAGCATTACCTGGCTTGAAACTCACATGAGAGACTAACTGAACATTAATTTATGAAAGAACAGGATCCTTCTCCAGGATTCTCATAAATTGAAGCCCTTTGTAGTAGGAACCCATGACTCCCACCCAGAGGAGGCAGCCAGGAAGGATGGAGGCTTCCAGACAAAGCCATGAACAGATCAGATGTCCTTTGAAGTGCTGCAGGCACCAGATAAAGTTCTTAGTAAAATAAACAACAGGGGCCCCTGTTGAGATGCTACCGTCTCATCTGGAGGCCCAGCCAGGGAAATCCTTATTTGGGATAGAGAGAGTTCCCTTTATCAGGCCCAAAGGAAACAGAGCCTGTGGTGTCCCTCACTGTATTTCAAAAGGGCTAGAAACTCGCCTGGGGCTGCCCGCCTCCCACACCACAGAGGAGGAGCAGGCTCTGGTACAGTATTTGCGTTTATTTATTTGGTGGGTTGCAATTAATCAGGGGGTGTTTCCTGAAATGTTCTGAAAAAGCCATCTTATGTTAACGATTAATAAGAGGTGCTCCCCACCCCCACCCTGTAGTCTTTAATGTTGGGTGCAAAGAACTCTTTGATTCTGGGTGGCCTTGGTCAAGAGGGGAGGGCCGATTGCTGAGGTTTAGGAGGCCAAGCTGGCCGCCCTGCCAGAAAGACCCTCAGGAGGATTGGCGCACAGGGCAGAGTCAGGGGGAAGCATTTATGTTGGCTTCATTTAATTTCATTTTATTTTTTTTGAGAAAGAGTCTTGCTCTGTCACCAGGCTGAATTTGCAATGGTGTGATCTTGGCTCACTGAAACCTCTGCCTCCCTCATTCAAGCGATTCTCCTGCCTCAGCTTCCCGAGTAGCTGGGACTACAGGCGTGCACCACCACACCCAGCTATTGATTGATTGATTGATTGATTGAGACGGGATTTCACCATGTTGGCCAGGATGGCCTCGATCTCTTGACTTCATGATCCACCTGCTTAGGGCTCCCAAAGTGCTGGGATTACAGGCGTGAGCCATCCGCCTGGCCCTTTTTAATTTTTTAAAGGTATATCCTACCTCTGCCTGGTGACCCTCGAGGTGACTTAGAAAAGCATACAGACTGGGAAAATGGATATGAATTGATCTGGAGTAACACCCACCAGGTGTTAGGAGAGAAAAGCCAGATGCAGACATAGTATAATGCAATGCCATTTTTGTAAAATGAAACAAGGACCCCAAAAATCCTGTCTGTATTGGATTGGTGCAAAAGTCATTGCGGTTTTTGCCACTGAAAGTCTGTTGCCAGACAAATGTATAATATGCATTTGTGTTTGATTAGACGTGACCATGGAGAAGGAGATGAAATGTTAGATGTCAAGGGTCTGCAAAGTATCTGGCTCAATGCCTATTTTTATAAATAAGGGGTTTTTGGGGTTGGGGGACAGCTCTGCCCATTTGGGGGGGCGGACACAGGTCTGCCCATTCCTCGATCGCATTATGCTGGCAGCAACAGAAATGGTATGACCTGCAGAGCCTGGACTATTATGATCTGGCCCTTAGGAAAATGGTTTCTGTACCCCAATATATAACATTGTCTCAAATTTTCAGGGTTCACAGTATCATGGTGTTAGCATGGATTCAGGGTGGCAGGAGGGTGGGCAGAGGTGAGGTTAAAAGGAAGAAAGCCAGCTTCCATGATGCAGCCAGAACTTATGTGCAGTTTACATTGGGCTGTGTGTGTGTGCGGGTGTGCGTATGCATTCGTGTGTGTGTGCATACACATACACCATGATAGAAGTGTGCAGGCCATGAGCTCGCCGTGCTGGAGTTCTGTGCTCTGTTTGATTCTGAATTTTTCAAAGAACATTCATTATTTCAAAAATCAGATAACCTGCTAGACCACTGAAAATTCAGAAGTAATAAGATCTCAGATGCCTTCTAGTTCTCTTTAAGAATATGGGATTTTGGCCAGCTGTGGTGGCTCATGCCTATAATCCTAGCACTTTGGGAGACTGAGGCAGGTAGATCACCTGAGGTCAGGAGTTCAAGACCAGCCTGGTCAACATGGTGAAACCCCATCTCTACTAATAATACAAAAATTAGCTGGGCATGATGGCACGTGCCTGTAATCCCAGCTACTCAGAAGGCTGAGGCATGAGAATCGCTTGAACCCAGGAGGCAGAGGTTGCAGTGAGCCAAGATTGCACCACTACACTCCGGCCTGGGTGACAGAGTAAAACTGTGTCTCAAAAGAAAAAAAAAAAAAAGAAAAAAAAAAAAGAATATGGGATTCTGACCAATTTAAGAATTCTGTGACAGATACAATACCACCACCATGATCCCAATTTCCGAACTCTTTGGAGATTTTTTTTCTTTATTTCTCTTTAATTAAATGTACAAAGCATGAATATGGCTTCCCTCAACAATTTGAAACATTGTAGGTAAAGCTGAGCTCTACCCCTTGGTCCTCCCCCAAGCCACTTCCTTCTCCAAGGGAGACAGCTGTCACCAGCCAGACTTGGTCCCCCGCCCCCATCCCTGAAGCCCTGTGAATTAGATCATAGATGTGTGCATGTCAGCATAGATGTATGCATGTATTTGCTTGTGTACTCAACAGCGTGTTGTGCAGATGAAATCCATGGCAGATCTTATAACCCTCCTTCCTTCTTTTTAACTGCTGTGTGCTGTTAGGCTGCAGGGGCCACAGTGTTAGGCACTTCTCTATTGATTGGGTATTTAGGGGGTTTCTGGTCCCCTTTTTTTTTTTTTTTTAAAACAGAGTTTTCCTCTTGTTACCCATGCCGGAGTGCAATGGTACAATCTCGGCTCACTGCAACCTCAGCCTCCCGGGTTTAAGCGATTCTTCTGCCTCAGTCTTCCAAGTAACTGGGATTACAGGCACACGCCACCATGCCCGGCCATTTTTGTATATTAAGTAGAGACAGGGTTTCACCATGTTGGCCAGGCTGTTCTCGAACTCCTGACCTCAAGTGATCCACCTGCCTTGGCCTCCCAAAGTACTGGGATTACTGGTGTGAGTCACCACACCAGCCAGTCACCGTTAACTTTCTCTAAGACATTAACTGTCTTCAGTCACTGTCCTGCTGAACTCAATAGGTTTCATTTATCAAGCCTCAAATGTGACATTTAATTTTCCCACCAGCTCCAGGAGGCAAATGCTACTATTATCCCCATTTTACAGATGAGGAAGGTAAGGTTCCAGAGGTGATGTAGTTTGCCTAAGGCTGCACAGCTCATGAGGAGCAGAAAAGAGATCCCAGTGTGCATCTGCCTGACTCTGCGGTGAGGCACACACCTTCGAGCAGAAACACAGCTTGCTTGAGCCTCTGAGCTCCCAGGAGTGAGTCTGCTGGTTGGGGGGGAGGGGGGCAGCTGGTCCACAGGTCGAGAAGTGAATGAAGAGTGGTGAGGGTGGAAGTGTTGGCGTGCTGAGCACGGGGGTGGGAGCTGCGATCAGAGTGGGAGACTGTGCAGCCTCTCAGACCTGGGGCACCGCTGATGGCAGTTGGTAGCAGCTGGGGCTGGGCCACTGTGGAGGCAAAGGCCAGCGCAGACAAAGCAGCCTGGAGTTTCCCTGCCATGGTTTTTCCAGCAGGGTGAGTGTCCCAGGGCTCCCATGAAACAGCACACACTTCTCTCTGCAGTTCTGCAGGGCCACACACCCTCTGGGGGTTCCTTCCATGCCTCACCTCTAACAGATTTTGGTGGCTCCAGGAATTCCTTGGTGTCTTGGCCTGTTCGGGTGCTGTAACAAAATACCTTATAAACTGGGTGGGTTATAAGCAACCGAAATTCATTTCTCATGGTTCTGGAGGCCAGGATGTCCACCAACAAGGTAGATGGGTGCGGGCTTGCTTCCTGCTTTGCAGAGAGTGTCTCCCATGGGGAAGAGGCGAGCCCAGGGTCTCTCAATATAAGAGCACTGATCCCATTTGTGAGGGCTGCACCCTTGTGACCTAATCACCTCCCAAAGGCCCTGCCTCTTCACATGCCCACACTGGGGATTTGGTTTCAACAATGAATTTTTTGAGGAAACGAACACTCAAACCCTAGCCCTGGGCTTGTGGCTGCCTCGCTCCAGTTTCTGCCTCTGTGATCACACGGGCCTGTGCCTCCTCTGTCTCTCCTTCGTGTCCTTTCTGGGGACACTCATACTCAGGACTCACCAGATAATCCAGCAAGAACTACCCATCTGAAGGTCCCGATCTTGGGACGCGGCGTTCGCAGATGGCAGGGTTTGATGCGGATGTATCTTCTTTGGGGCCACCAGTCACCTCATGACCCCAGCTGAGCTGACAAGAGCAACAGGCAGAAGTTTCCCTCTCCTGGTTAATGTGTCTCTGCGTACAGCCCTCCCTCCAGGGTGCCTTGGCACAGGCACGGGCAGGAGAAAATCCCACCACCCTCGGCCCATGCCCGCCTTCGCAGGACTCTCGGAGGGGATGGTACCTGAGATTTGCTTAAGGAACCCTGAGAAACTGCCTATGTCCTCATCACTGCCAGAGCATAACACGCCCAAGGTGATGCTCCCTGTTTTCCCCTCTGTCACCTCTCACTCCTCCCCTTGTCCCTCTCTTCTCCTCTGTCTCCCTCGTCCTTGGAGAATACCCTGTGACTTCTGCCTGTACCCAAGAATGTTTTCTCCCCTTTCCCTTTCTATAGTCTGTTAAAAATCTTTACTTAAAACTGCTGAACTGGGTGTTCCTGCCAGGGAACCCACAAGGACAGGAAACCCAGGAGGAGGGAACCCAGGTGGACAGGAGGGGTGAGTTTTAGAATTCTGGAAGGGGCACCTCTTCTAGTCCATGAGGAATTGCCCCTGGCCAGGCCCACCCCGCATCTGGCCCACCCTGCAGGCTGTTTTTCCACTGCACCCGAGAGGTTTCCTGGAGGAACAGCCTCCCCTGGGGTTAGGCCCGTGTGAAGACCAGAGAGCCTTTCCAGAATGCTGAGGGCGGGCCCAGGATTGTTCCTGTGTGTACAGCTCAGGCTCTTCAAGGACCAGGGCTCAGGACCAGGGAGTGACCCTGACCGCAAGTCCTGGTACCCACTGAGCCAGCTGGGACCTGGAGCGGGTGACCTTTTCCTCTGTGTCTTGTGGTCTTTGAGGCTGTAGAATGGGGGTCACAACTGTTGACCCCTGGCTGCACCATGTTCAGATCAGCTGGAGATCTGAAAGGTTCTCTTGTGTAGTGCAGTGAAATACACACAGCACGAGGCGTCACTTGAACCGTGTTTAGGTGGCAGTTCAGCGGTTCATCCACATTGTTATGCTGCGGTCACCACCATCTGTCTCCAGAACTTTCTGGTCTTCCCATATTGAAACTCTGTCCCTGTTACCCCCTCCCCCAGCCCCTGGCATCCACCATTCTGCTTTCTGTCTCTAAGAATTTGTCTATTCTAGGGACCTCATATGCATGGAATCACAC